CAACAGCGCCCACTTAGGGGGTTGAGGGAAAAAAGAAAAAATTTTTTTTTTTTTTTTTTTTTTTTTTTTTTTTGCAAATGTAGTTGCCTATTTTGCATTTGAAGAGTCTGCAAAAGACTCCACTTGCACACCGAAATGGAAATACATCCAAATTAGAAGGACAGGATTTGCACTGCTGCCACACTGCATGAACAATCACTGGCGCACATGCTGTCAGGCACGTCTCACAAGACCACACCTTCCCAACAGGAAGAGGGAAGGAGGCAAGACTTGGAATTCTGTCTCCAGTTTCCCACCACTAAATGAATAATCAACTCTGCATGGGGTTCTGCTGTGAAATGTATCTGCAAGTAAGATAATGCTAAGCATTATCTTATATTACAATTACTGCGTGCGCTTTGAAGTAGGAAGATTTTATTAGACAGTTTTGCATCACCTGAGGTTTGTTGCATTATAAGTTGAAATGAACTTTCTTTAAGAATTCTGCAGGAGAGCAGATGACATTATCAATGTAGAAAATGCTGACGCGCAACTTAATTATTTTGAAAATACATGTGTATTTTTTTTTACAAAATTATAATCAAATTGCTGCACACCAGGATTGTAGTGCAATGGTAAGGCAGTATTTAATATTTAATGTAAAAAAATCCTAAAAATAACACCAAAAACAGTAAAAGTAAAGATAAAAGTCATAAAGTCTATAAAATAAATAAATAAATAAATAACCGGAATAAAGATTGAAACACATCAACTGAGAATAAGCAATTCTGTGATGTCATCATTGACAGTAGTTTGTAATAGAAAGATGTTAAAACACCATGAACTTGTTTAAAATTTAAGTAAGTAAGTCACATCTGTGCTACACTAATCCAAAACATATTAGCTGATGTAGCTGATCAGTTGATTGTGAGGCCTTTGGAATGAACAGGTCTCCTGTTTGTACACAGCATTGCCAGAAGTATGAACTTGAGAGACAACTCATCCTCTCCCAGCCTTTTCTGTTATAAGGGTTTAGGAGTTCCTCTATGGAAATTGTTGACTGCTCTTCCAGAGGCACATAAACCACCTAGGGTAATTCACAGATTGCCAGATAGAGAAACATGATCCTCCATGACTCGTCACCACTGCATCGCACTTGGTTATGTAAGGCTTGAATGCAGAGTTTTTGCAGAGCCAATCTGCAGGCTTTGGCGCTTGGTTTTGTGCTTTTGGCCCTGGGAGTGGCTGCATGCAACACGTGAATTCAATAATGATTTGAATGTGTGAGTGAATGTTTCTGTCATTACAGTGGAACCTAACTTAAGAACTAAAACTAACAGTGAGCTGTTGTTTAGTTTTCATTCTTTGAACGACAGCGTTCAAAGAATGAACGCTATCGTTCATAGCGTTCATTGCGATCATTAACAGCTGAGAGTGTTAATGATCGCAAATGTTAATGTTTATTTATATAGATATTTTGTTCTTACTTTTTCTGCATATCTAATTTAACTATCTTAATTTGTTTCTATTGCACTTTTACTATTTAACCCTTGTGTTTACAAATGAGGTCCAACTGACCCCACACCCATATCCCTTGTATCAGTTGCCTCAGTCCTCGCAGGCACAAGGGTTAAAAGGTCAACATAAGTAATTGAAGATTTATCTCTTCATTTGTGTTATAGTTAACGTATTAAAGTGCATTTTTAGTGTTTTAGAATTGCTTTGTTGTTTAACTATTTAAGTCTTTTACTGGCATTTCCTAGTTACAAATACAAATAGAAAAGTGTTAATTAATGTGTGATTGTATTGTATAAATTGTAAATTAAAATTCAGTTATTTATTTAATATTTGGTTTTGTATTTACAAGCGACATTTTTTAATTGTGATTATTTTAGAGCTATAGAGAGTAAAAGTCTACAAAGTTCTCTATAAACCAAATCTGATTCATATTTGCTGAACGAACGCCAAATAAAACGATATTATGGTGATGGAGCCCTGTATTTCTCTCCTCTCCGCTTCCCTAACTTTATTTTACTTGTATAACCCACCTTTACCCTTGTGTATTTTTCCAATTCAACCCAGCAGCGTCACGGGAAAAGGTTCGCTGTCCTATAAGGTTACCATAGGTTATATCTCTGTGGGCTGAGCTTCACGGCGTCTCACGCTAAAGAAAGACTGAAAAAAATGTGAGAGATCTCACAGTGTTCCAAAAGATGACGAATGACCTTTGGCAAATAAAATGCTGTTCAGATTCTGATAATAATGATTACTGTTTAAATAGACGATCTTTGCATTGACTTCACGCTATTGGTCGAGAGAACCACACAGGGGCGTGAATTTCCGGCAACCCCGGTGCGGTCACAGGGCAGTGGCAGAGTGGGCGTTGAATCCGTCTTCCCCCTACTTATCTCAAATCCTGACTTCACATTCTGAATCACTACACAAGTTGAGTCCACTCAGTTCGTGAAATTTACCCGGGGGAACCATGACGGAAAGCTCCTCGACGAAGCTGCTGAACGGAGACGCCTGCCGCCGGACGTTAAACGGAAAAAACGCGAGTAAAAATGGCTACGTGAAGAACCACTGTCTGTTTCAGCAGTCACAGAAGTACAGTCGCTCCGGGGAGAAGGTAAGGCCCAACCGTCACGGAGAGAAGACCGGAAGAGGCTAGTGACAAAGTGTTACTTTTTATTTTATATAAACATAGTATCCGATTCGTTCTATGAGGTATATATTTATATTTGCCGTGTTTGTTTAGCGGCTAAATTCTTGTGTGGGAGTGGTTTCCCTGAGCAGAAACGTGCAAGGCTCGGCTACATGTCAGTATAACAATATACCGCTGCTAATATCATTGTAATTACCTCGTACAGTTAGCTTCTAACGCTCTTTAGTGGGAGTTGACGCAAATATTTGTATTAGACATTAGTTATGTCGTATAGCACACATTTTCTATTGCTTGTTCGAAATGTAAATTCTGAAATGCCAGTGTTATATTCATAATTGTCCATTTCAAAGAGGGCTACTGGAACGGCCACCCTTAACTTGTGTAATTTTAACACTGTTGTGGACTGAGAAACCTGATCAGGGATGATTGTAGTGATGACTTCCCCCCTCACCCTCCTCCATCTGTAACTTTACACCCTGTTGTTTCCATGCCATATGCGCCGCTTGGTGAGGTTAGACATGTCTCTGTTTAGTGACTTGAGTTTGAAGATGACAAGTGTCCTGTAGTGTCGGAGGTGGTGTCTGTTCCCAGGGAGAGGGAGGCTCAGCGGTGCTTTGACTTGTCCCATCAGCTGGATGTCTCCAGGCTTGAAAGGGCGCGGTCCATTTTAATAGTTTGATTTTTAAACAGTACGCATTCTTCATTTGGTTGTGAGGGTGGGAATTTGATTTTCTCCCCAGAAGAAGATCAAATACACTGTAGTGAACGTCATATTCCACTGCTTCAATTGTTTTCATCCATTGGGTTCGTGTTTTGAGCAAAAGCATATCAGGTCAGCCTACAGGGAGTTAAGGCAGAGACGCAATCTTACCACAGCTCAAATTGCTTTCAGTAAAAGGTGGGATTTATGGCGTCAAAAGGAAGAATGTTCCCTAGCTAGTTACCATCTGGAGTTGTAAACAACAATCAATCTAAAGTAGAAATGCACCAACATGATATTTCTGAATGACTTCCAGATGGAGTATTTTGTAATCGCTGAAGTTGCAGGTTCTGATTCCAAATTCTGTCTCTTCCATCAAGAACGACGGTCTTCTGACAGAGATTTAAAGAGCAGCAGCCATAGCCAGGCCTGTCACAAACACGAATTTTGCTGGACAATAAATTGTCCTGGAGATTATTGCGATAAACGATAACATTGTTATTTTGAGATCATTTTTAAGTAATATATTGTTACGGTATAATAATGTAAGTTCACTCTCTCGAACATCTATAAACTTTAATTTTGTAAAGAACACTTTGGTCTACAAAGTCTCTCTAAACAACAATAGCCCTTCAAAAAGCATTAATCATCAGAATGGAAATTATTACACTCCTTTTAATTTATCATGCAATGAATTGATTTATTGCGACAGGTTTAGTCGTGATGACAGTCATGGCACTGTCATAGAACAACAATGTCTTCAGTCAGAGGCTTCTTCTGATTCTTTGCAAACCTGACTGCTAGATCCTTCCTGTTCACAGCCTCGTCACTCGAAAAGACTCTTTGAATAGAATGTGATGATATGAGTTATGACATTTAATTTCCCTTTGGGATAAATAAAGTATTTTTGATTTGAAGAGATTTTGGACTATCTGATCACTGGTCAGAGTATGTCCGGCTGAAGATTGCACATCCAAATTTCTAACCATTTTTGTACGGTCTCTTCATAAACAGGATGTGGCTCCTTATATTGGCTTTGGCCAATAGAAGGATCCAAAGAGCGATGCTGTGTAATTCCACTTTTACGGGAAGTTAAATATTATTCAAAACTCTAATCCATTTCTAGCTGTAAATTGCCCTGAATTTTTTTCTCAACATATTTGACGTAATTCTGACGTGGGGGAAAAAAACGTCCCGATACTGGAATCCGAAAGGCATGTAAACAATCCCCTCGGTACTTCAGATTGTCTCCACACTGGATCAGCTTTTTTTATTTCTTTTTGCAAACAGAATTCTGGCTTGCTTATTTATTATCCAGCTTGAACCAAACACGATGTGCTTACACCACAAGCTTCCCCCTATTGTGTACACAATGTAATCTGATCGTCTGCCACTGAGATGCAGAACAAGCAAGTGAAGCATTCTCTTCACTTCTTCTGGTGCCCACTTCACTTTAATCTCTGTTTAGCTGCTTAATTCGTTGGTATCATTTGCTCTACGAGGTTCATCTGAGTTTATTTTTTTTCTTCCATAAACTCCCAACTGTCCACCATGTTGAGCATTTTCTCGGCTGTTTCAGAGCTGAACCTGTTTGGCAGACTTTTACAATGCACAAACGATACACACAGTACACTTTGAGCTGCTCCGAGGTATTTCATTGAGAAGCATGACCGGTCACATGAGAAGTGGCTGCTCTAACTGCTGGGCAGAGCTCGTAATGAGCGACTGCACTCAAGTAGAAATTCCTCCAGTTCAGCTCGAAATTCTGCTTACATGTTCTCCTCCGACAAGATTTAAGCTCTCCTGCATTTCAAGATCAATACATTTACAACTCTGGATTAATAACTTCCTTGCTAACCTGTGTGTGCAACAGACCGGGTCTTTGTAAAAAAAAAAAAAAAAAGCATTGGAGTCTCGATTTACTGTTTAACCTTTTCTAAGATAAAGAGTTTAATAAGTAATCCCTGCTGTTCTGCAACGCATTCAGGAGCCTGTATATAGTTTTAGTGTTGTGTCTTTTCCATGACTCATCTAATCTCAAGGATGGATAAATAGTTATCTTTTTTTTATATTTATATATTCACCTCTTATGTTCAACGTCACATTTTTGTTCAAGTACGTAAGTAATTAAAGTTGGCACATTCTTTTTTTGTATTTATCCTTTAAAAGTGAACAAAAATGGATTGAGAGTTCTGAGTGGGAAAGTTTAAAATCAAGACAGGAAAATATGTAGAAATCCTGTTTATAAGAAGGATCAGGGCTCGTCGTGTGCAGTATAAAACGTTGCTTTCGTTTGGACTTCTGAGTTGGAAAAAGATGCCTTGGGGTCACTGAAAACGTCCCTTCTTTTGTTCCTCAGAAGCAAAATGCGACCCATAATCCCAGTTTGTACAAGAAGCCCTTCATGGAGTATTTCGAGGAGACGCCTCTGCTGGTGGCTGTGCTCACCTACATGGGCTACGGCATCCTCACCGTCTTCGGCTACCTCAGAGACTTCCTCCGCCACTGGAACATCGAGAAGTGCCACGTGGCTCGAGAGAGAGACGAGCAGAAGGTGAGGCAGCTTTTTTTGCGTGTTTGACACGTGGAAAGTGTCAGATATCGTAGTGGATTCTTTGAGTAGTTCTGACAGAAATCGAAGCTTTTCCCTCGGTCTGGTTTGTGTTTTAACAACGATTTTGAAGGGAGAGCTTTATTTTCTAGAAAATGCTGCTAAAAGAATTTTTCTGGCTCTTCACTGCAGAAACTCTACATTTTACCAAGTGTTTTTTTTTTTTTTTGTCCAGTTTCTATTGCATATGTCCCAGTACACTTGGAATGAGAAAAAAACTAACTTACTAGTAAGTTTTCAGCAAGAAATAGGATCTTGTTTTGAGTAAATAATTCCTTAATGTTGATGAAAAAGTGCTAGCCAGGACATTTTTCCCACATTGTAAGTTAAAAAATGTTGTTCCACTGGGAGGTTATTTCACTTAATAGTTAGCACTTTATCAATATTAAGGAATTGTTGACTTAAAACAAGTTCCTACTTTGTGCTGTAAGCTAGTTTTTTTTTAATCTTATTTCAAGTGTATTAAGATATTTGCACTAGAAAATAGACCAAAAATACTTGATAACATCTTGTGTTTTTGCAGTTTTATCATTTCACGTCACTGTTTTACGCCTTTCCTAATCTTCAGACCGATTTATCTTGTCAAACTGTAAATATTTCCTTTCGCTCGGAACAAAGATAACTTGTGCATACTGAAATGTCACGATAAACGTCGAAATATTTCCTCCCCTCTCCACAGGATTTCGTCCCTCTCTATCAGGACTTTGAAAACTTCTACACCAGGAACCTGTACATGCGGATCCGGGACAACTGGAACCGGCCCATCTGCAGCGTCCCCGGAGCCAAGATGGACCTCGTAGAGAGAGTTACCCACAACTACAACTGGACGTTTGAGTAGGTTGCTGCGTTGTGTATTTCTGTTGACATCTGTTTGTTCATTTTGAGGAAAGCATGTCTCAGAATGAAAATAAGTTCATGTTCTCTTCTACCGACTGAGCTACATTCTACGTCTGTCATTACAAAGTAGTTATAGTTGTGGTTTTCCTGGCATACAGTGGCAGTTTGTGTCTATGCTGATCTAGGATCACGCCCAGTGGTTGCTTAAGTTGCACCCTGAACAGAGTGACTTCATTCAGGAAGTTTTTTTGTACGCACCAGTATCTGTCACATGGTCTTTATCTTAAAATAAATAAAGACATTAAGACGATGTTTGTTATATCTAAATGTGGTTACAGTGACCCTGTAAATCAGCTTGGAAAGAGTTAAAAGGCGTGGCGCCGGTCTAATTTTATCTCACTATCTGCGATCGTCTGCTCTCTCAAGAAAATGGAATGTGTTTTATCACATTTATGTACTGACAACAGATAATCCTGCTGTGATATTCAAAACACTAACATTAGTGAATATCTTAGCTGTTTCACAACAACTAGGAGTGTAGGGCATTCGCCATCATTTAAAAATCTGGCTGAGTCACGTTGGTATGAGAAGTATTTACAAAAGCGCTGGAAGCTTTTTTTGGTTAAATAAACTCTCATTGTCAGTGTAGATGAAGACAAAGGCAGGTAAAGCATAAACGGTTATAATAAAAGCAGACGCACCAATCGCAGATGTAGTCAAACTCTGACCTAATCTTAGCTTCAGTGTTCTCTTTAGTAATTATAAATAACTAAATTAGAATAAAAAAGAGAAATAAACAAACCACTGATTTTTCAGAAACAACACAAAGTCATACAGACTTATCTATCTAAAGGAGAGATGCAGCCAGATCCTCCAGGTTATTAGATATATGCAAGATCTTCAGTTTCTTTCTATTATATCATTACTAAAACTGTCTCCATTTGAATATTGAATGAGGAAAAGCTCATATTTACTATTGTGTCTTTAAACCAAAAATGTATTTTTTGTTAAAACCATAAACATCTGTGTGTCATGGTCCATCAATATTTATTATCCAGGGTGAAGTCGCATTTCGTGGGAGAGCAGTCAACGTTACACAGCTTCTCTGATATAAAAGATTCCACTATTATTATTATTATTATTATTATTATTATTATTATTATTGTTGGAGTTGCCATTTTAAACTGTCTGTAGCAACTGTATATGAGCGATTGGTGCAGTTAGCATTAGCAAAAACAGCAGTCTCTTCTCATCCCCTGTAGTGTTAGTTTACCGTTAACTACTATATTCTTGGGGGAAAAAAATAGTCAATTGGATTCTACTAAATTGTGAAACAGAGTGGCTTTGCTGTGATCTGTTCATCTTCCTGTCATTTTCTGACATCCAACTTCCTGTTTTAGGAAGCCACTGTAAAAACATAGTTTCCTTTCCAGAACCTTCCCTACATTCTTTGTGCTTCCTCTCGCTTGATTTTTCAAAACTGTAGAAGTGTAGAAAACAGCTAGCTAAATCCCCTTCCTGCAGTAACAACCTCCTGACTCAAGAGTGTTGCTACTGCAACCTCCAGACATTTAGGTATGGCACGTTCACAGACTCTGTGGGGGCGGAAGGGAGAAGATGATATTTTGTAGTTTCCAGCCAACTGTTTACAGTGAACGTAAAATCAATGCTCTGGTAATCAAAGCAGACATTCTCCTGATTTTCTGACGCTTTATTTATTTATTTATTTATTTATTTTTGGTTTCAGGCATACCGGCAAGGTGGTGAAGGACGTCATCAACATGGGCTCATACAACTACCTCGGCTTTGCTGAGAACACTGGCCCTTGTGCCGATGCTGCTATCGAAGTCACACAGAAGTATGGAGCCGGCGTGGGAAGCACTCGCTGTGAGATGGGTAGGTTAATCATCCTGGAAGTTGGTTTTTGAAGGAATTTCCAATATTTCAAAGTTAGTTTAAGAAAACAAATTAATTTCTGTTTTTTTTTTTCCATCTGCTACATCAGTTTTTAACAAATAACAGTCATCTATTTTGTAAATAAAAGGATGCAGAGATAAGATTAAAATTGAACACTCTCTCTTCTTTCTTTTTGTTTTTTTTTCTTTTTACAGGCAACCTGGACATCCACGAGGAGTTGGAAGAGTTGGTGGCCAGGTTTCTGGGTGTCGAGTCGTCCATGGCGTTCGGGATGGGCTTTGCTACCAACTCCATGAACATTCCTGCTCTTACTGGGAAGGTGTGGTGGCGGGGGGGGGGGGGGGGTGTCTTTTCTTTTGTGTTTTGTTATTTGTTCCCTGCTGAATCTTGCGTAACTCCTTCCTTTTGATCGTGTGGGTGTTCCTGTCCAGTTATTGTGACCTTCTTCCAGCAACAAGTTTCACTGTTACTGGAAAACCCGCCGCAACGTCTGTGTAAAAGGTTCAGTCGCGTGTTCAAACAGGAAGGCCGGCAGCTTCCGGTTCGAGCTTTGAAAGCACTCCGAGTGCAAAGGGTTGATGACTGATGTCAGGGCCTCTTTGACTGGATTCATTGTACGCAGCACGAGCCAATAGAAAAATTTCCTGACAGAAAACAAGTGGAGAACGATTAAGAGTCGGAGAGAGGAGCAAGACGCACACGACTGTGCTTTTTTTGCTAGTTTACATTCATATGAGCCCATCTTTATGTCTTAAATCTACATTATGCAACATGCTTGTTTGCTCTTTGGCCACAGGAAATTACGTAAACTAAATCTTTTCTTTTGTGGAATTTTTGCCTTTGTATTTATTTCTATGGGCTTTTCAGGTTTAGGGACATCACTATTTGAAATCCCATAACATTCACCGTTCAAAGAAAGATAATTGTCTGCCTGTTTGACTTTTTGTTTAAGATTAAACTTAAAGCGTGAAGTAGTGATTGAACTAAGACTAATCAGGGTTCGTACAGGTGCTTGAAATCCCTGAAAATGCTTGAATTTCATTTCAAGGTTTGGAAAGTCCTTGCTTTCTGTATTCGGTCCTTAAATGTGCTTTACACTCAAACTGCGTGGATCTGTAATAAAATGCAATATAACGTTTTAAAAGTCTAAATTTGGGAAGCGACATTTACAGTTGAAACCAGACATTTTAAGACACCTGGTAAAAAGAACAGACATATTTTTTTCTTACTGTTTGAAGTTAAATCAGACCAAACTTTTCCTGTTTTGGGTCAGTTAGAATTAGCAAAATTATTTGTATTTGCCAAATGCCATGTCATTTAACAAGAACTGTCTTAGGGATTTATTTTCTCACCTTGTTTTGGTATGTCGTGTTCAAACATTTAATTTGAGCAGGAAATTTACATTTACCTTATTAATAATTGCTTGGATTGTTTCAATGCAGTGAATATTTATTATTTGTAATGCCTCAATAAGTTATTGATCTGTGAAATTGAAATGCAGGTTTTCTTATTTTCTATACCTTAAACAAAGTTGTGTTTATTGTTAAATAATCTTTTAACAGTAATAAGCAACGTCACATAATAGGGAACGAAGCAGTTTTTTAAATTTTGTTTATTGGTATTGTTTTCATCTCCAAGGTGTGGTGCTGGAAAAGTTTAAAAACTCCCCTTGGAAATGCTTGAAAAGTGCTTCGGTTTTACTGAGGGAATCATATTTGAACCCTGAACAATGTAATCACGAGGCCAAAAAAGTTGTTGCTCAACACGAACAACTCAAGCATCTGAATCCCCGGATTAGCTGGTTTTGCAAGTGGTAACAATGGATCATGTTTGCATGTGGGTGCATAAAATAAAATCGAGTAGCAAAACGGAGGTTAACTCCTGTTTTACCCTGCTTAGGGTTGTCTCATCCTGAGCGACGAGCTGAACCACGCTTCGTTGGTCCTGGGCGCTCGGCTGTCTGGCTCCACCATCCGAGTCTTCAAGCACAACAGTGAGTGGCTTCTCTCACTTCTGTCTGAAATGGGGGAAAAAAAAAACACACAGGATGAGAGAACACTCAAAGTGTGTAGAAATGCTAAACCTCTCAATTACAACACCATTCAACAATTACCTGTAAAAGGCTTTATCCAGGTGGCGAGGACAGGCGTAATGACCTGGGTGTGTGCAGATCGCTGCTGATTTCACATTGTCTCGACTTGCCCAGCTCAGTCTTCCACCAAGTTTTTTGACCGGTGTTCTGAAAGACGAAAGAATCTATATGATGTTTGTTTTCCACAAGTCTGGAAAAATTCAGTTTGCGTTCATTTCCCCAAAGTAAAAATTGCGAGAAAAAAATGTCCTAATATTACCAGAATAAAATCTAAATATTCTGGTAATAAAGTCAGAATATATTGACTTTATAATAAATTATTCTCATAATTTTATTTAAAAAAAATTCTCAACATGGCCCTAATACTCTGTCACACTTGCTAAATAGAAGGCCCTGCTTTTTTTTAGCACATGCAATGTGAGACTGAACTATAATTGTAAAATTACTATTATTTATCAATTTTGTATATTTGTTTAATCAGTGGCTCTGGCGGTGGTCAGATATGTGGATTGCAAATGTAATAGTTGTCCATTTTCTTTTGTAAAGCCTTCAGCTGGTAACATCACCGTTCCCCTCTCCTACTCTCCTCTGCAGACATGCAAAGCCTGGAGAAGCTGCTAAGAGATGCTATTGTTCACGGACAGCCCAGAACCCACAGACCCTGGAAGAAAATCCTGATTGTGGTGGAGGGCATTTACAGGTATGTCCACTGAATGTGGGCTGAGTTTGTAACTCCATCAGTTCAGAAATTAAGTTAATATGATTGAAAAAGAAACTGAAAATTCCTCTTTCCTTCGTTTTACTATCAGACAAACCATTTTCAGGCAGGTTGTGTTCTAAATGAGATAACCATGAAGTTGCCATTAGCCTTCCTAACACAATAAATATCTGAAATCTTTTCTACCAAGTCCCAGGGTGAAGCAGATTGAAGAATGCCTCTGAATATATTTGCATTCTCCAGACATCACAGTGGTTCTTTCAAATGCACTGTTAGGGAAGCTGTTTTGCAATTATTTGCTTAATAAAATCCAAGGAGCAACAAAGATAAACTCACTTTAGCAGGTGTTGCTGTTTGGTTGGAACGGAAATTAACACTTTTGAAAGCATTTTATTTAATCAAAATGGCTGCTGACATCCCTACTAGGTATTAGTTTCCGCTAATCAGCACTAAAACATTGCCAATCAGTTTTTGATTTAACTTTCTCTTCTTGATTTAAAAAGAACCCTGTGCCTTTGAAAAGAACATTTGTGCATTATTGAAAAGGTATTGAGCAATTTTCTTGTATCTTCGATGAGTGTAGCATTTTGTATTGTGAATTTTTGGTATCTAATAATATTGTAATGGAACTTACCTTGAAAGATGCGTTCAAGGTGAAATGAGTTGTTGATGTAATCTGTTTGTTGATAACGCTGCGTTCATCGAATTCATAAAAGTTCTTTGTCTTTAGACCAAGTGATAGAAATAAGAGAAGGAAGATTTCAAAAGTAAAAGTGCAGAACACTATAAAACAAATAAAGTCTTACACACTTTAGAGTTAATAATGAGGAGAATCATATATTTTGAAACTTTTCTTGATAACTGAATGTATAGAGCTGTAAAAATTCATTCATTGGTGGTGAAGTTTAAACTGAGTGAATAAACTGACTGATTTAGATTCCTTTAAATCCCAAAGCATGGAGGGGTCCATCGTCCGCCTGCCTGAGGTCGTCGCCCTGAAGAAGCGCTACAAGGCGTACCTGTACCTGGACGAGGCCCACAGCATCGGCGCCCTCGGCCCAAACGGCAGAGGAGTGGTGGACTACTTCGGCCTGGACCCCAGGGACGTCGACATCATGATGGGAACGTTCACAAAGAGCTTCGGGGCTGCTGGTGGATACATTGGAGGCAAAAAGGTCAGCAGCGAAAGCTCTGGAGGGACAACGGTTAAAACTCGTCAAAACGTTACCCCGTAAAAGCAAGAAGTTGTGATTCAAATAGTTTGAGTGCTTAATCATCCTCAGCAGATTGGGCAAGTTTCCTGTCTTCACTGCGTCATATGGTGTTGGTGAACACTGTTGCCAAAAAACAAAAAGAACAGAAATCCAGCTTTTTGTTTTTTGAAAAGTCGAGCTCGGTTCATCCAGTTGTTTTTTTTAACAACTCAAGAAGAAAAGGCATATTAGATATTGTTGTTTCAAAGCCCTTTCCCTCCATACAGCAGAGCTCCTAAGGTCTTGAAAAGTCTATGGAGGCACCATTTACTGCTTTCATTTTCTTTGAAAAAAAAAAAAGATTTGAGTTTCCAGACAATATTTATTCCAATTTCAATATGATGAAAAAATGTCTAAATACCAAGTTGTATTTGTCTTATATACTTAAATCACACGTTTTCTTCAATTTGCTACATCATAATTCACAATGTTTTGACCCCCTAACCCTCTTTAAACTGAGTCTGTACTTCTAACACCAAACACAAATAAAAGGTGATTTAGATGTTAAACTAATCGCTAAAACATATGTATTTTTAAGTTTTTAATTTTTTTACAAAGGAGTTGCAGTATCAAAGTTCATAAACTATTTTAAAGAATCTGCTCTGATTTGCGAAAACTAAATCCTCATAGATGTTGAAATGAACCTGATGTAAATAATTAAAGTTGGTAATCAGAATCCGCTTTCAGCGTTAATTTAAGACTCGGAGACAAATAGAGATAAAAACCAGTGTAGCATTTTAAAGGCAGATGTTTGGTCTGGAATTGTGAAACTGGATAATGAAAAGAAAAAAATGGTTAAGAACCGTAACAGTAGACAACAGTGTATCTCTGTAAAACTAATTTGACTGATTTGTCTGTCAGGAGCTGATCGACTACCTGCGCAGCCACTCTCACAGTGCTGTGTACGCCACCTCCATGGCGCCTCCTGTGGCCCAGCAGATAATCACCTCTATGAAGACCATTATGGGAGAGGATGGAACAACTCTGGGTACGTGCCAAAAAAAAGCACTAATAGAAAAAAGTTATCAAATTAAACCAATATATCACTTCGCATTGAGATTCTTGTTTTCTTTTGAAGTATGCAACCTTCATACTTGATTTCAGTTTTTTTGGTTTAAAAAAAAAATCTGGCTGCAAGTGTTTGGTTCGACCACAAGATGGCAGTAAGCTCGTACTTTGCATTGCGACCAGAGAATCGATTCTCAGGCCAAAGATTGTTCCTCTCAGTTCCCATGAGCCTTGCCAGACACACCAGCACATAAAAAGTAGCTGGACTGCTTTATTACAAATTAAGACATCTGTGATGTACTTCTAAACACATTACCAAAGTCTAATTAAACTCAAAGTTCTTTTGAACTTTTAAAGAACACTGTAATTAGAAGATTCCTTTCAGTAAAAATTACATCTTTTACTTCATAAGTTCACCTTTTTTTTTGTTCATCTTAAACCCTCCCCTTGTTTCTTTGTTCAGCTTTGGGCCAGACTAATGGAAAGACCTCTACCTATTCCCTTTTATCACTTTCACATGTGTGCTCCGTTTTTTTTTTTTTTTGTTGCTTTCACACTGTGGGTGCAAAGCAGCATGGTGCCTCAGGACCAGAGGCCTCTGCAGACCCGACTCTGCTGGACTCTCCTACACACACAAATAAATGACAAAGTCTTGTTATTCTTTCTCGGGCGGCACCTTCTTTACTTTTTACGAAGCTTGATTGATTCAAACCCCCCGACCCCACTCCATCAACCCGTCCAAAAGCTGATCTAAGATCAGGTTACGCTACTTTTAAGCCTCCCAGTTGATAGGTACAAGAATAACAACTGCTGCTGCAACCTTTGTAGTGTCTTCTTTTGTGTTTTTTTTTTCTTTTCCCAAGAAGAGAAGGCCTGACCTTGCGGCGAGGACATTAGCTTGACAAGTTCCCCCCCGCCCATGGAAAGAGCACCAGTGACAGTATGATTAGTTGCAGCTCAGTCACTGTTTGCAATTCAAGCCCTTTGAAGTTTCAGATGCTGACACAGAGTCAAAGTGACAGTCGGAGCTGCCTGTTAAAGGCCTGTTGGTTTCCACATGTCGCGCACAGAAAGGACACCAGACGCATGCCTGAATCGAAACGGAAGCTTTAATCAAACGTGAACGCGTGAAGGAGAGGGGCAGGAAAAGCGACGCGCTCCCGTCCGTGTTCCCCCCCGACCCCCAAACAGGATGGCTGAGGCGTGTGAGCGCCAGCTTTCTGTTTTTGGCTAGTGGATCACTCTGGGCCAGGAATACCTGTGGATTTCTTCACAATGGAAAATATGTGCGGGTAAATATAAAGCCAGAGTTTGTTGTGTCTCAGGTTGCTTTGAAGCCCCGCTGTTTCTGTTCTGGCCGTTTGAGCGCTGCCCCGGCAGATGTGTGTTGCTGTTGGCACTTTGGGGCACGTGGCTATTTGTTTGGTTGGGACACAGTTGTGTGAATCCGCAGCGTGACATGGCATCGTCCAATATCTGTTTAGTTTCAGCTTGGTGACTATGAACCTAAATAATTTTGTTTGTGTCCAACACTTTTTGTTCCCCCCTCCTAATAGATAAAATCATTCTTAATAATTAAGGATGTTTTCATGAGTAAAAGATGGATAAAAATTACTTTTCACATTATGCCATCTGAAAAAAAAAAACATTTAAAAAAGAGCTCTGATTGGCTATCGTGTCATGACTTTACTTTCCATTCCATTTTTTTTTTTTTTTTCACAACTTGAAATACGTTCAAACAGATTAATGTGTCTGTCGAGTGCGGAAAAAGTGCAAAAGCCTTCTTTCAGCCAGCTGGCAAGTGGTACAAAGCATCAGGTTGGGGAGGGGAAGCGCTTCAGTAGCCGTTGCTTTAAAAGTCGTAAAAAAGTCTGATCACTTTGGACCTTTTTTTTTTTTTTTTTTTTTTTTTTTTTTTCTCTAAAAACAATTCAAACCACAGGAACACTATGATGCAAAATGGTTTTGAAACCATAAACCTGGAATACTTTGATCATAATGAATGATAACCAGCCCACGTTTACTTTAAATTAGCAAAACAGAGACAAGTTTTATAAAGTTATAACTTATTTTCTAAAGATGTTTGCTGGCAGGATTTGTCTTTTGTTTGCTAGCTACTTGTGTATTTTAAAGAATTTTTATTTGTAAATTTTTCTGAAACCACATAAAGAAATAAGAATCATACGTTTTCAAATAAAAATCTGTTTCATACAACTCACAAATGTGTACCACTCATATAAAATCTCAATAATATACATTCAGTTTTGAACCACATATACGGTTTGTGAATAAAACACTATAAATTGGTAGTTTTCACAGGTTTAAGTCATTAAAACAATGGCTGGTAGGACATGCTGCTTTGGAAGTAACAGGAAGTTTCAAATTGAGTTTCTCTCTTTACGTTTTCTAGGCGCTGATCGCCTCAGGCAGCTCTCAGAGAACACCAACTACTTCCGCAGAAGACTCCGCGAAATGGGCTTCATCATCTACGGCAACGACGACTCGCCCGTCGTGCCGCTGATGCTCTACATGCCGGCCAAAATCGGGTAAGCATCGCCGCTTTCGAGTCCTCGTCCGACCCATCGGTTCAGTTTGTTTCTTTCCCGTCTTAACGCGAAGGTCTCGGGTTGCCTCCGTGTTTCAGGGCTTTCGGCCGAGAGATGCTGAAGAGGAACATCGGCACCGTGGTCGTCGGCTTCCCGGCCACGCCGATCATCGAGTCGAGAGCGCGCTTCTGCGTTTCAGCCGCTCACACCAGAGAAATGCTCGATACCGTAAGTCGATCGCAAGCTGCTGCTCAGCGGTGATGTTTGTTGAAATGATGGAGCTATACGCTGGGTTTTGAAGTTGTATTCTAGTCCAGTTTTCAAAAAATATAATAACAACATTGGAAGGAGAAGGATGACGATAAAAGCTTATTCTGATTCTGACACGATCAAAATAGGGCCTGTCTTAATTCATCAGTCAGGAAAACTTATTTGGGGAGGATTCTCTAAACTTTCTAAGTTTGCATTTTAAGCCAAATAAAATAAAGAGCGCCTCACTGTGGACTTTGTAACCTGCTTTTCTTGACTTTCTCTAAATTCCTTTCCATGATTTGTGGTTCCTTTCTCGCTGGAATACCCAACCTTTTTTTATATATATATATATATATATATATATATATATATTCCGTCTTGCACCTCAAACATTATTTAAAGCACCTGCAAGGCCAAACCGTCTTTAAATATTACTGCTAGTAGCGTAGCTTTAAAATGTTTAATTTTTATTGAGGCTTTGCTCCACTTCTCCAAAGACGCTTTATTCATCCGCCGGAGGAGCACATCATCAGCGCCGTTTGTAAATCGTCCATTTAACGGGTATCAGCCTGTTTTTGTGAGGCACACCGAGGAGCCGCTTTTTCCGTCTTCGGAAAAGCCAGCCCTCTCTCTTTCTCTGTTCCTCAAAGCATGGAATCAGGAAAAAAAAAAAAAAAAGGTCAGGAGGAAGGTAAATTGTTTCCAGGTGCCCTGCAGTATGTTGCAATACTGATAGGGTCTCTGGTGGAAAGGAGTGGTGATGAGGGGGGGAGTTTTTTTTTTTTTTTTTTTTGTTCAATGCTTTTTGTTTTTTACACTGAGCCTTCTGTTCACCTTTCACCTCCACTTTCCCCACTCTGACATGTCAAAACATCCCCACCTCCATTTGTCTGGCACAAATAAAGTCTCTTTGAATCCTTATTAATATCAATCTCCTATTTCCTGTTTTGTTTTGTTTCGTTCTTAAGGCTCTGGAGGCCATTAGTGAAGTGGGCGACCTGCTGCAGCTGAAGTACTCCAGACGGGAAAAACCTCTTCCCTCTCTGGGATGGATGTCTGAAGAGAGCCTCCTTCAGGACTGAACCAGCTCCGTCTTTTTATTTCCTCCTTTCTAACCTCTCTGCACAACACACATCCCGTTAGATTAATTTATCTGATAACAAACACTTGGAGCCAGTCTCACACACTCAGCCGCTCCGCATCGCATCTGCGAGAAGCGAACCTGTGACCTGCGACGTGTTCGCACGTCTCGTCGCGACGTGTTTCCGGAGCATCGCTCGCTTCCTCTCACGTCATGTCTTAAATCTTGCGCTCACAGTGAATATATATATATATATATAAACGTTTTATTTGTGCAATAAAAAAAGAGAAAAGATTTCAAGAAGCCTAAAACAATGTAGGGGGAGCTCCGTTGTGGAGAAGAGATCTGATCCTAGCCTTTTTGTACAAGACTAACCTGATGCGTGTAAATATTATTTATCGCAAAAGCAAAGGCACATTATCTAACACACACACACTCACACACACACGGTTCTCGGTGTGTATTGATCCAATCGCTTCTACTTGAATCTGCTTACAGAATATTGGATTTTCTTTCTTTTGTTTGTTTTGTTTGTTCTCCCCAACCAAAGGTTGTTGCATATGTATAGATATATTTTCTACATTTCTCTTGAAATGTGAAGCAGATGTTTCCAAAAGAAAAACATGTAACTGTAGGGGGAAAAAAAAAAAAAGACTGACAAAATATTTTTTTACCGCTTATTTTCTATTAATAGTCCTGCGGCCTAAATTACTGTTTACACCTGCACTCAAACACTTGAGCCAAGTGTCTTTAACATTTCTTTGAGGTAAATGGCCTACATGTATATAGTTTTCCCCCCTCCATTCTGCTCACTAAAGTGCTTTTATGTGGATATCCGAGCATGACGACGCGCTGCAACTTCGATCTGTATGCATGACGATGCTGCTTCCAAACTCATCCGATATGTACAGAACAGTTTTTATTTATTGAAGAAAGGCATCTTATTCTTTTGCTATTTGTTTCTGAAAGGCAGCTCTAAAACATGCTACAGCTGAGAGTATATATTTGAATCATCTTAACATTCGCACTGTTACCACTGACAGGCGCTCTGAATGCCGAATGACGTTGGTAGGAAAGTTTTATGTATATCTACATAAATATATACCCTGAATGTTCTTTATTTATTTTTTTTTTCACCGTAATTTTTACATTTTGTGATCATCCACTGAAACAGCATTCCATAATCAATTTTTGCTTTCAGTGTGTAGCTGTCATTTTGATCTTTGATCTGTTTTTTTTTTTTTTTGGTAAACAGTCTGCTGTCCAGTTTCAATGTGAGTCATTTTTGTTCGGTCACTACTGATTTCAACTCAAGGTGGTGGTTGTTGGTCAGAAAGTTGTCTGTTGTCTGCCAATGTGTTCGTTTAAGCTGATAAAAAAAAATCAAAAAACATCCAACGGCTTTGTTTTCTTTTTGCTTTTTTTGCCGTCCTCTACACATCCATCGTACACTACAGTGGCGTATTTGTCTGATTCATTTCACCTCATCCTTTAATAATCTGAACAATAATTTTAGGTGCGGGAGTGGGAAAAAAAGTTTATAAAATGTGGAAAACATGATTAAAAGTGCTCTGGCAAAGGATTTTCTTCCTGGGAGAAGTTTCTCGTCGAGCGGACCATTGGGAGTTTGCAATTTCGCCTTTGTTGCAAATTAGGTTTATTGTTGAAAGAAAAGCTCAAATTGGTCAGGTGTTTGCAATAAACAGCAGAAACTGTTTGTAAAAACGTAATATTACGAGGATTTCGTCAACATTCAACGCTACATAACAGCAAACATTTGCAAATTGGGAGCAGTCTAACGCAACGGCTTCATTGAGTTGCATCGGGTTGAGATAAAACGCCTCAAATACCTGGACAGTCCACAGGAATATTTCGATGCGGATTGAAAATATTGTGGGTATAAAGTTCAGACATCATCCAAAAACAGAAATATAGAAAAGACCTTGACTTTTCCTAGAGATACAAATGGAAGCATAATTTGCAATTTTTCAAATAAGGACCTATGCCACCTGGTCATGGTAGCTATCATCGTTTGCCACCAGATTACCATGGAAACAGGTGGTCAACAAACCGTGGTTGGTGTCATTCAACTTCCAAACGGGGAAATGACTCCAAGCACGTCTAAAGGTTCAACAAGGCTTTGGTTTTGGGGGAAGTCCTGGACGATGCTGGTGTGGCCCATCATATATAGTTGCCTGATGTGAACTTTGTTGAAAATCTGTGGTGTGGTTTGAAAAGGTGGTTGCGGCACCCCAGCCTAACATTAGAAAGGAACTGAAGGACTTTGCTTGTAATTAATCGGGCTAAGGTTCCTTAGGAACACTGCTACTAGCTGCTATCTGACTACTAATCACGTTTGCAATAGCATTTTATTTTTTTTCTTTGAGACTTGAGTAGTCATGAAATGTAAAATTCAGCGTTTGATGTGGAGAAGTCACTCATAATATTAGTTGTGAGCTCTTTAAATAGCTATTTTTTTTCCACTTTATTATTGCAAAACAGCTGCCAGTTTGTTCGTTTTACCAATAAACCTAATTTGCAGCTGGTGTTGGAACTTGTTTTGTTTTTCCTCCCTACTTTCCACATACGAATCTGCATTTAGTCTTTAATGAATATGTTCAAAGTCTGGGCTTTGGGAACAAAATAATGTGACCTTTACTTCCCAAACCGAACTGTTAGGACCACAGGAAACTGATCAGCCACGTCTGTCTTTGGAACTGTATGCTGGCCATGATGTTTCTGAACCATGCTGCTAGAAAACTGTGCCACGAAAATTAAATCAGTTTTGAAGTTGAATCCTTTTCTGACTAGTTTTGTTTTATTTACTGAAATAAATCGGGACTGAAACTTTAAGAGCTAAAACAGCAAATTACAAAGGACAAGTCGTTAACTTTATTCACTAAACTTTTGAGGGTTTTAATGTTTTTGGAGCAACAATTTACAATAATAATGGTTAAAATTGACTTCAACTACAAGAACACAATGGACAAATTTCACTGTCATTTTTAAAAAATAAACCCAAAGTGGAAAAGCTTATTTATTTACATGATGCCAACCGGGAATGTCATCATCGACGACACTCAGGACGCAATTATGGATTCTCATCAATCTGGGAAGGAATACAAGACAATTTCCAAACAACTAAATGTCTTTTATACCTCAATCAACTGACTTGTCTCGGTTTCTTAATTGGATTTCGATCTGGGCTTTGACTATGTCATTCTACTAGATCTATGCTTTGATCTGAACCATTACATTATACCCGGATTGCTTTCCTGATGGAAGGTGGACTTCTGGGCCCGTCTAATCTTCTTGAGCCTCTAACAGGTTTTCTTTCAAGTTTGTAGCTTGTATTGAGCTCCACCCATCAGCTCAGCTCAGTTTCCTCGTTCCTGCATGTTACCACCTCCATGTTTCACAGTGCGGTTGGTAAGTTCAAGGTCTTCATGCCACTCCTTAATACGGTCTGATTTGTGGACTGATCGGCTTATTGTTGTAGTTTTCTCATTTGTCGGTGCTGGGTGTGCTTGCGTCCTCTCTCCAGAACCTCCAGGTCTAGGCTCAGGGGACAGTGGGTGTGTCTGAATGCTGCCATTCCACCTGACTGCTATCAACTAATCCTCATCTGAGTTAAAAGGGTCTCAAGATAATTCCTTGCCTGGTGGTCAGCCACTGATGGTAGAAGTCAACCAAAGCCTTTGACCTCCATTGAGATTTTTTAGTGAAAACTCATTGTTTTGGCATTCATGTTTGTCTTTTGCAGTCCTTCATCAGAACACAACTCAGACACTTACCTGACAAAGGTCTTTGAGTGGGTTCCTCCTCTAAGTCCATCTAGAGCGTACATTTGTCTCCAGGCACAGCCATAATGCTCCACTCGTGAAAATAAATCTGTCCGGCTTCTCCTTGGCAGTCAGACAACAATTCTGAGTGCTGCTCTGCCAGCAGGAAACATAAAAAAAATATAAATTAACAAAATCGTTCCCCTCAACTCCTCAGCCTGCCTGCTCTCCAGCAGACCACCTGCACTTCGAGGAATCCTCACCTTCTGGATCACATCCAGCGACACATCTCCAAGTCGGACTGATCCGTTGTTTCCCCTCAGAACAACATTCCGAGCTCCCAAAACCCACTAACTTCTATTGTAAACAGACTTCTAAAACTAAACTGGATCTCAATATGTAGACTTGTCCAATTCTCTCACCTGAACTCTGGATTTCTGCAAGTCTTTCATATTATCAAAGCTTTAAATATTTTTTTGAAAATAACTCTGCTTTAAGCACTTAAACTAATTCATCCCTGATCTGCCTGCTTGTGTTTCTTGGTCATAACTAGGGATGTTCGATGTATCAGAATTAGCATCAGTATCAGCCGATATTAGACGTTTTTTTTTAACATATCGGTATTGGCCCAAACAATAAAACTGGACCAAACTAATATTTATCTCCATCTTGTTGCTGTCTGTTTCTGGTATTTTTTTTCCAAAGGTGTTAAAACAGTAGAGAAATATATATGATATGGGTGAATATAGTTTATCAGAAATAATAGTAATGTTAATATCGGATATCGACCCAAATTTTCATATTGGTGTATTGTTACTCATGACGATGTTGTTTATCCACTAATGTTCTCTAACTAATTTTTGAGTCCTTCATAGTACGTTGAAATTAAATTACATTTATTGATTAGGTAACTTTTGAATACAATTGGTTACACTGTATTTTATTTAGAGCAGATATTTTATTCAGAGTAAAGTGAATGAAAAATCAAAAACAAATGTACATCACATTTGGAAAAGAATTTATGTCAATATACTTCACAATTTTGAGATTTTATGATGGTCTGTCACATAAAAGCTAGTAAAATAGATTGAACTTTATGGTAAAGTGACTTACTATGAAAAGTTGGGTTTATAATGCTATGCAACTGACTTTGCCTGCCTTCAGTCAGTTTTACTGAACAAACTATTGCATTCACCTTGTCAAGCTCCTCAGTGGCCCCTCTGCACCCTCTCCACACAGCTGTGAGCAATCCCACCCCCAACTCCCACAGCGTGAAACCTCTTAATGGGTGCGTAAAAGAGGCAAGTTTGCCCAAACCGTTTGGCTGGGCGGGACGCGCGCACAAACACGTCGTATAAAACCGTTGGATGAACTTTGGCTTGATAATGGATTAACGAATCAAACAGACAACCAGCGACAGCAACCCTTAACGCCCAGATGTCAATGTATTGGAAGAGAACACCCATCCACCCACTGACGAGCAGTGAGTCACAGTTTAAAGCAGCTGAATAAGCGTGCGCCGGTGCGGACGGGGAGATTCGGCGTGGGGTATTACACTCTCTTTTCCCCCCCGCCCCGGGTACTTAAAGCCCGCCGCCGCAGCGGTTTTTATGGGGAAGAGAAGCGTGGAGCTCGCGCCGCCGAAAGGACCCACAGCTGCTGCGCGAGCCTTTGGTGTATCCGACATGGACAGTGCGCGGGATGCCGTCGCACGCTGCTGGTGCGCATCTTTATAAAGAGCGACGGTTCGACCGACGAGACTTCAAATCTCCCTCTGTTGTGAGCTAAAGTCAGAGCCAAGCGCTGGACGAGAGTTTGACGACAAGCGTTTCTCCTGAACCAGCCCGCCGCCTCGCCGAGAACAAACCAG